TATTTATACCCTAATGCGAGCTCCTCCTGCCTAACTCCCTTCCCCTTATCCCATTGGCTGGGCTTCAGGGGGCACAATCTATTCACGGAAATCTTTCCCAGCAACAGAGAACATAGGCAGTTACACAAGTTTGCCCAGAGACAAGAAAAGGCGGGAAGTTTTGCAAGGGCAAGCAGTTCATGTTGGGGGTAGGGCTATTCTTTCTGCTACACACTTAAAAACAAGGTCTTGGGGAGGGGGGGGTTGAAAGCATGGTTTTACAAGGTCAGAAGGGCAACAATACAAGAACTATTAACCAGAACTATTAACCCTTTGAGGAGGCTTCAATTCTGAGAGATCATCTCTCACATGGTGATGGCCTTCTCTGGTGTGGGGAAGGGAGAGAGGGAAGAAGGGGAATAGTTTGGTACTTAAAATGTAAAAAAAATTAATTTAATTTTAAAAATATGCATTTCAGAATTTACCAGGAATTAAAGTCACTGGCCTATAGTATTCAGAAAATCAAGATATTTACTCTAATCTAGCCTTCAGACCCTTCTACTCTTTACAGCTGTTTAAAGGTCACAGAATGTGGCTCACAGAATCTCAGAGCTGAAAGAGCCCTCAGAAGTGACCTCTGGCATCTGAACTCAAGGAGAAAAGAACTGGACTCCCAGCCCCAAAGACGGCCACTGGTTCTGTCATTCTAGAGATGTGGTGCAGTGCTCAATTCCGAGCGTCTGTTATCAAAACCCACCTCTGATAATTACTATTTATGACCTTGGGAAAGTTAGCTAGCATCCATGCACCACAGGCTCTCCCTCTGGAAAATGAGGCTGGTTGGTACCAGCTGGCCTCTGATGCCCCTTCCAGCTTGGGATCTAGCTTCCTATGACGAATCTACCATCCAGACCTAAACTTCTTATTGGCCTCAATTATTCAAGCCCTTTTATGAGTCTCTTAGTGAAAATGGACTTTTCTCTGGGCCAGGCTGGTATAGAGAAGGCATCAGTGATGCCCTACAAACTGGTGATGACAGGACCCACACCAACTCAATTTAAGTCAGCAATTATTTATGTATGCAATCAAATGGATAGCTTTAGATTCCTAGAGAGGGCTGGGCATTGGAGGAAAATAGTTGGAAGCCCCAGAAAGCGTAGAGTTCAGGTCAGCTATGGAGGACAAGGACCATTAAATTTGGAGTTGGAAGACCTGGATTCCAGTCCTGCCTCTAACTAATGAGTGACCTTGGGCAGGTCCTTCACCTTGGAGTCTTAGTTTTCTCATCTGTATAATGAGCAGAATGGCCTAGGGGTTTCTAAGGTACTTCTGGCTCTAAATCATCCAGGGGCATGCTGGGCTATGGAGGAGCTATATAAAAATGTTTGCTTGGACTGAGCGAGGATTGGGAGGGAACACTTTGCTCCTTACTCTCGTAGTGCATTTTGTACAGAGAGAATCAACTTGGTAGCTGTCTACAAGTATTTGAAAGGCTGTTATGTGGGAAAGGGATCAGTCTGTTCTGCTTGGCCTCAGAGTACAGAACTGGGAGCAGCAGATGGAGGCTGCAGAGGGGCAAATTTTGGTTCAACATTAAAAAAAGCAACAACTTCCTATACTTAAAAAGCTATCCAAAAATAGAACAGGACGCCTTTGGAAATAGTGAGTTCCCCATCATTCAAGGTCTTCAAGGAAAGCTAGATGACAATTCGTCAGGTATCTGGTAGAGGTGATTATTGATTATAATAATAATAGCTAGCATTTATAGAATGCTTTACAAATATTATCTCACTTGCTCCTCACAACAATCCTGGAGGTAGGTGCTATTATTATCCCCATTTTACAGATGAGAAAATTTGGAGGTTGAATGACTTCTTCTGAGTCACAGAGAGCTAATAAGCATCTGAGCTCATCTTCCCGATTCCAAGTTCAGGGCTCTAGCTTCTGCCACACCTAGCTGTCACTATGGTCCCTTCCAACTCTGAGATACTGTGATTATGTTATGCATGTTTGAAGTGCTCTGGTGTCATAAAACAATCATAAAGAAGATTTTGAGAGGGCATCCATCCCCACTGGGGCCATTTGGGGTCAGAAGTTATCATAAAATATCAAGTAAGCATTGTGGTATGGTGGAAATAATTCTGAATTTGGAATACTAGGCTTTGGGTTCACGATCGATCGCCATTCAGCCACTCACCAGCTAAGTGACCTTGTTCAGTTTGCTGTAGAAGAGAGGACCTCTAAGATGCTTTCCACCACCATAGCAGTTCTGTTCTATTCACAGGCCACCCAGCTATGACCTTCAATAAGGAGGGAGAATTGTTCATTTAGGATCAATCAGAGGATTTAGAAGGAGAAAGGTCCTCATAGATCAGCTAGTCTAAGCCCCCTCACTATATAGATGAGAAAACTGAGGCCCATAGGGAGAAGAGAAATGACGGACCCAAGATTAGATATCCAGGCAAGGTGGAGACTAGAACTTGGCTGTCCTGATTGATACTGAATCCAGGACTCTTTCCCTTACCGTAATTATTCTGGGAGAGAACTAAGATCCCACCAGTCCTAGTAATGGTACCAGCCCAGACCCACCGCAAGCTGAATTTCCAAGTCACTTTGTTCAATATCCAGGCCACTTCAGAAGTCTGTAACCCAATAACCTTCCTCTGGGCCTTTCCACCTCTTTAGCCAGAGGTGATGATTGTTCCCACCTTTGGCTTATCTGAATTTACTTGTAAAATTCCCTTTTCAGTCCCGCTAGGCTCTTTGGGGTTCTTACAAAAAAAAAATCAGGCTTTCCCCACACTCAAGAGATGAGTACTTCTCTCATGGCTGGGTCTGGTAGTATGGGCTCTAATTTAACTATTAAGTGCCTACCATATGAAGGCAACACAGTGGCAGAGAGAGAGTTGATGGAGCTGGGGAAGGGAGAACTGGAAGCCAGCTATCGATGTGGAAGCCATGACCAGCCTAGATGAAACATTACACCAAGTATGCCCTAGAGTTGTAGACAGGAGGAGTTTTGAAACTTGGAGGAGTGGATATAGACTCCTCTGGCCAAGGGAATTACGGGGGCCCATTAGCACCCACTGCTAATCCTCAGGGCTGATGCCTCTCAGTCCAGGGGCATTGGCATGAGTCTAGCTCAGCACTCCATGCCAGCCCACAGGGCTGAGCTAGGGCAGGAGTGTGCTTACAGCAGTGTTCCCCCAAAGAGGAGCTGAGCATGTTCCTAGAGGTGAGGAAGGCTGGGTAGGTTTTCTGGAATGAGAGAAGGCAGCAGCAGCAGTACCCAAACTGATGATCTGGTCTCCCAGGAATGCCCTCAGCCTGCTTTAGTTAGGGTGACCCATACTGTCAACAGCTGACATGGAAATGGGTCTAGGTTAAAGGCTCCCAGCCTTGGGACCAGGGTGTGTCCAGGGTGACAAGATTGTAGCAGTGATGGGATGGAGCTGGCCTTGGCCTCTGCCACTTATGGCTATCAGGTATTCTCTTCCTTCACCCCTTTCTTGGAGCTCCCTTTATAGCCATCAGAACTTCCTGAAGCAAACCAAGCTCACCTCCCTGGTGCCAGGCTGAGCAGCCAAGGACTCCTGAAAATACAGCTCAATTCAACAAACATCAGTGAAGTGTGTGTGATATACATGGGAAGGAATATAAGAGAGGCTGATTCTCCCATGAGTTCTGGGGCAAAAATCCAAGCTCTCCAGGGGAATCCCCCTACAGTATCCAGATCTTCTTTACTCAGATAGTGAGCTCAATGATTTAAAAAAAAACAAACCATGGAAAGACTAGCATCAAATAACAAAGAACAAACTCAGAGGAACCAAGAGAACATTGTATCAAGTAACGGCAATATTGTTTTAAGAACGTCTTTGAGTGAATAAATTATTTTGACTATTATAAATACCCAAATTAACTCTAAAGGACAGATGAAAAAAGATACTATCTATATCAAGAAAGAGGTATGTCTAGAACAATATATATAAAATGTGTGTGTGTGTGTGTGTGTGTGTGTGTATGTACTGATTTGTGTCTAATGGTAGCCATGGGGGGGAGGAAAGAAAAAAAAGAAATTTACATGATAATTTTGTTGTATATTTGAAAGGAATAGCAAGATTGTGCATAGCAGATTTGCAGTTTCATGTGCAATCATCTTTTTTATTGTACTATGTTATGGAACTGTTTGTTTTATTCTATAAATTAAAAATAAAAGTTTTAACAAAAAAAAGTGAGTCTAGCAATCAGGACTAGGAAAAGGACAGAAACACACACGGAAGATAGAAGAACAGAATTTCTGGGTCCTTTTTCTGCCACCTCAGTTAAGGCACACGTGTTTCCCTCTAATCCCACTATGTGCTCACTTTCTCCTAGAATATAGAATACCATCCCTCCACTTTCTCAGATATAAGCCTTCCTTCTTCCACTACACACACACACACATGCACACGCACACACACACACACACACACACACACACACACTGGGCTATTTTGCCTAAATGAGTCTCAGTACCAAGGGACCGGTAAGGCTTCCTTCTTTGCCATGACTGAGACACTGAAGTCAGGTCAGGATAGTTGTTTGTTTTTTCTTGTTTGTATTTAAAATAAAATTTTACTGATCTTTTATTTTTACAACATTTAAACTCCATGTATCTCTCCCTGTCTGCTCTCCTGGAGAACCATCCCTTATATGTAGGCAGGGCGGTGGTTTAATGGACTTGGAAACAGCAGGACTTGAATTTAAAAACAGCCTCAGATACTTATTAGCTCTATGACCCTGGACCAAATCACTAAAATTATCTTGGCCTTTCTGTTTCCTCATCTGCAAAATGAGAAGAAAAATAAATAACAACTACCTTCCAGGGTTGTTGTAAGGCTTGAATGAGATAACATACCATGAATCACTTTGCACATCTTAAAAGCACTATCTACACACTAGCTGTTGTTATTCTAACAAACAATTAAGAAGAGAAAGAAAAAAGTTCAACAAAACTGACCAATACACAGGATAGTTGGGGTTGTTCTTTTTTTTTTTTTAACGTTTATTCAGCAAAGACCATGAATGCTACTTTTTACCACAGCAGGGCTACACTTGGAGTGACTGGGCAGACTGGTGGATGGATGGACAGAGAACCTAGTCTGAATCTGAAGTCAGGGGGCAGTGGTGGTCTAAGAAGAGCTGAGAAAGGCTGCTCAGACATTGAGGTTCTAGGGCTTGGGGAAAGAGAGCATCTCCTCCTGGGTCTGCTTGAGGGTGCAGAAGAAAGAATTGACTCTGTCCCTCAGCTCCTTCTCTAATAAGCTCAGGTGGCCCTCCACCACACAGGCGCGGGGTAGCCCTAGTTTCTGCTTGAGTTCTTCCAGATGCTGCACCAAGGCCCTGTTGAAGCTCTCCTCAAAGGGCCCCATATTCTTGCAGAACTCTTCAATCTGCTGGTCCACCTGTACATTCAGCTTGGTCAAGGACTGGTGCAGCTCCTTTGAGCTTTGGGGCAGCTTCCCCTTCATCTCCTCAGCAAAGGGTGTCAGCTTTTGCTTCAGGTCCTCTGTATTATCTGAGACCTTGGTCCTCAGCTGATCCACTTTTTTTTTCATCTGGAAGGCCAGACATTCGATCTGGCGATTGAGCTGCTCCTGGGCACCCTTGGCAAAGGGTATGAGGGTCTTCTGAAGCTCTGCAATGTGCTGGTCAATCTTGTTCTGGAGCTGGTCTGCATAGGGGGTGAGCTGACATCTCATCCTGTCCACATGCTGGTTGACCTTGTCCTTGAACTCACAAGCGCAGGGGGCCAGGGCCATCTGAAGGCTGTTGATGTTCTCCTTCATGGTGGCCTCCAGCTGCTGGGAAAGGGGAGCCAGCTGCTGGCGGAGCTGTTCTGCGGTCTCACTGAGGCTGTTTTGGAGCTCATGGGTGCAAGGCTTCAGGCACTGCTTCAGGGCCTGCACGTTCTCATTCATCTTCTGGCTGACCTCTTCCGCATTGGGCTGGAGCTGGAGCCTCAGCTCCTCCAGCTCCTTCCGGACCTGCAGCTTGAGCTTTTCCGAGTCCTGGACCACAAGGCATGGCAATTCCATGGCAAAGGACACTAGCTTCTTCTTCAGGTCATCAGTCTGTGTGCTAACTTCCCCACACTTTTCCATAAAAAGATTGCTGCCCAGGGGAAGAAGAAGAAGAAGAAGGTGGTTGCTATTAGCATATTATATAGTTATATATTGTACAGTATGTCATAATATAACATATAACATAATATTGTATTATAATATATTATAATACAGTGTATTATATTATACTATATAATTAATATATCATATCATATCATTATTATACTATATTATGTTATATTATACTATATCATGATTATATCACCAAAAAATCCTTCACTGAAGTTCACTGATGCCTCATCATGATCTGGGGCTACCCCCCCCCCCGATTCTCCCAGGCTTTGCCCACAGAGCACAAACTCTAACAAGTCTTACCATATTGGAATTGCTTCAAGTATGGGCCTAGGCTAGAAATATGTGTGTGAATGGGGGCGGAAGGGGCTGGAGGTGGAGTGAATTGAGGCCCATGGTATGTTAGTGGACCAGGCAATATGGCAGTTGTCTTCTTTAAGCTTTACTCCCCAAAGGTCAGAAGTGACCCCAAATACCTAGTTGTAAATCTCTGCTCTAACTCCTCTCTAAAAGCTCAGCTAGGAATCTACTCTAACTAAGACGACCCAAAGTCTCCCTCCTCCAGTCCATCTTCAGGACCTCCTAAAGGACCCGAACCAGCCTTCTGGGTTGGCTTCCCGTACCTAAGCCCCCCCCCATAGGCCACGCCCTCCTGCTCGAGCTGCTGGTTGGACTCAGCCTTCTGCAGCTGTTCCATAGCATGCTTGGCATTGGTGCTCAGCTTGTTGAAGTAGTCCCATATTAGTTTAGATCCTTGCTCAGGCCGCATCCCAGCCTGGACACCTGGGGTGGGAGAAGGACAGAAGCTGAGCACCAAGGTTCAGACAGAGGCTGCCCCCTTGCACCAGTTACGTGGTCCAGGCTAGATTTAATGAAGGTAAATCCAACCAATTGTTTTTCCGGGAGGGGCTTTGCCCATTCTGATGTAGGGAGGGAGTGGAGGCTATTAGTGGGGGAAGGGGGAGATGTTAGCCTGGGCAGGGACAAAGCTGGGGCCAGAGATATTTCCCTAGTTTTAACCGGAAATGAATAACGAACAGCATGTAAATTACATGTATACCCGATGCAAATGATCCTATAACATTGAGGCTACAGCCCAGATTAACATGGGAGTGGAACAGAAGTACTTATGTCCTGTCTCTCAGCCTCTCCCCACTTTAACCCCCTTCCAACATGCCTGGCAACCATACCAGCCCCATCAGAATCAAATGGGGATAAGGAGTTCCCAACCCTCCCCTGTTACCTTAGCAGTCCTTCCTCTCCATTCCAAGCTCAGCCCAGAATCTATGGTCCCATATGGTGCTGCATTCATTCACTGATTGGTAATAGCCACAAAAGCCAGAGAGAGTATCATAGCTTTGAGAAACATCTTGGCCTCTGTGCTGAGTCTGGGCTGAGCCCCACAGCACTGGATCCTATGAGGAGAGAGATAAAGGATGAGTGAGTTCTAGCCTTGGTCCCTTCCTACCTTCTAAGGTCTCCCCCCTCCCACAACCTCCATTCTTGTCAAGCTTCTTGGTGCCTGAGTTCCTCCCCCACCTCCAGTGGAATATTCCACCAGCCAAAGTTCTGGGGTAGAAGACAGCCAGCACCAGAGAGGATGCCCTAGCAGAAGAAGGGCTCACCTGTCCTGCCTTCCACTCTGCCACAGGTTTGAGCTAGCTAGTTTTTTATCCCTGACTCCAAAATCCTCTCCACTCTTTGTAACTCCACGCTGGAAGGTGGCACATTCCTGGGAAACTGCTTGGACTTTGGCGACCCCACAATGTGGAAGTTATCAATCCTGTGGTTTGGAGAGGGGTCTGGATAAGTCTTTATCCTCCCAAAGTCCCTGGGAGGAAGAGTGGAAGGAATAGAGTGGGTGGAGGAGAATTGGACATCCCTGAATTCTAAGGAGAGAAATAATTAGAGCCCCACCCACATGTAGCCTTGGGTCCTGGCCAAGCCTGTCAAAGACAGAGGACATTCCCTCACTCCTGAGTGTAGAAAAAGAAAGACCCTTCACCAATACCACCTCCAACCTCAACCCTGGACCTCTGACCTATCTCCTCAACTTTTAGAATTAGGTGGGGATCATAAACTATCAGGCCAGATGTCAGTCCCGAGGATTCCACTTAGCTTTCCTTCATGGTTGTCCCTAGTTCAGGTGATCCTGGGACTAAGGCAGAGAGGAGAAAGGAAAAAGTATCGTTGGGAAAATAGCCTCAACGCCACTCACATCTACATGGTTCACACAGATACAGTTTTCTAGAGACACAAAAAGCATAACCATCTTTCAGAATGCCCACTAAAAAAAGTGGGTAAACTATACAACCACTCAAAGCCACAGCCCTTTGGATTTACGGAGCTAAAAGTACTTTTCTACCTGTGATTTTCTTTCATCAAGAGTCCTGGAGCCAGAGAACAACCAGCATGCTTCCCCCATACCCGGTTACAGGGGCAGATTCTGAGAAACGAAAAAATAGGTACCTTGTCCACTCACACAGGCACTTGCAGCCATTGAGATCTCCTTCCCTAGAAAGGAAAAAGAACAAGGAAAAGATTCCTCTGGTTGGCCTGGGCTGTTCTGCCTAGAGAGACAGGGAGATACATAAGATAGATTCTGGGTTCTATGACTGTCCCAAACTCCACAACCAAATTAATGCAGGGCTTGGTGCTTACTCCTTTTCCCAAGTTTTAACAGCCTCTTTCCCTTCCAGACCGATTTTGGGAGTATAGAAGAGCTGAGAGTCAGAAGCCCAGCTGTTCTGTGGAGAGAGGATGAGCCTTTTTAATACCAGCTGGTAGAAGTAACTTCTCACCTACTGAATCGCCTCTCTGAATCACTGCCCTGGCTCCTGTGTGAAATAAAAATACTCTACATTCTATGTTTTAGCCACATCTGTCAGAGACACAATGTACTAACGTGCTTGCAAAGAGGTTCTGGCTTACAGAACTTCTGCTAATTCAGAGAACTTTCTGATGTAAGCAAATTCAAACTTATGTTTCTTAGTAATCGCAAAACAAAAGATAAATTCAGGCAGCAACATGAAACAAAGGTGTAGGGTTTAAGTGTAGGGTTTTGGGTTTGCCAAGTAGAACAATGGTAATGTTAATGCTGACATACTCTTGGGCAAAAGATCTGTTTTCCATTGGAAAGTCGATGGTAAACAAAAGGAACACGAAAGAGTGGCCTCTTTGGTTCAGGATAAATTAAGAAAATCACGACTCTCTGGACTTTGACACCATAAGGCTGCTGCCTTTCCACCCAGGAATTACCTTCAGTGCCTGTGGTCCTCTCACCCTGAAACATCCCTTTGCCCTGCTAGCCTCTTCCTCCCGTTGGTGAGTTTCTTTCAGGGCCTCCGTTTTGGGGATGGGCCCAGGTCAGTCACACTTCATCTTCCTCCTAGCTAGGCTTCTTGACTTTTGGGACTTCGACTCCATTTCTCCCCCTCCCCAAGTATCCTGTCCCCTGATTCCATTGAATACTCTATCCACTTGAACAACCCTTTTTTCAGTTCCCTTTTGTGTATGTCTTGCCCATCAGACGGTAAGCTCCTAGAGGGCGAGGATTGTCACTTTTTGAGCTTGTATTGGTATCCCCAGCATTTAACACAGTTTCTGGCATGTCATAATAAGTGTTTAGTGAAAGGCTGCCTGCCTGACACTCTCTTGCTGGTTTATATAAAGACTGTCCTCTATCTGCCTGCCAATTCTGACTTCTTTTGGAAATTGAATCACACTCTATATTGATAGAGTCTCAGATTCAAGGAGGGTTAGGATGACCAGACTGAGGACATTTTTATACCATTAATTCCTAATTTTTATAATACAAAGGAAGCCTTTTCACTATCGGTGTCCATATTTGTGAGGGAGAGAGGGAAAGTGAGGGAAGGGGAGGAATAAAGTGCCGAGTGTAGAATCTAAGGGCTAGAATGGATTTCAAAGGTCATCTAGCCTGTACCTGAGTAGGGATTCTCTACCTCGGCACGAACCTTGAGTGATTTTCTCATCTACTACACACTCGGGGCAGCTAGGTGGCACAGTGGATAGAATGTGGGGCCTGAAGTTAGGAAGACCAGAGTTCAAATCCAGCCTTATATACTTCCAAACTGTGTGACCCTGGGCAAGTCACTTAACCCTATTTACCTCCATTTCCTCATTTGTAAAAATGAGCTGGAAAAGGAAATTGCAAACCACCCCAGTATCTTTGCTAAGAAAATCCAAAATGGGATCATGAAGAACCAGATACGACTGAACAACAGCAAACATTAGGGACATTTCTGGTGGGTAGGGAATCAGAGTTGGGGAATAGGAAGGGGTGGGCCACAAGTGAGCATCCAGGAACGCTTTCCACTCAATTCCTGGAGAGCTTAGGGACTGACACGGTTGTTGTGAAGGTTACAGGTAAAGAACAGATTTGGGCAGGACAAAAGGAAATATTTAAAGAGCTGTTACTTGAAGGAGAGATTAGACCTGTTCTGCAAGGGAAGAAGTAGGAGCAGTGCGCAAGTGGCAAAGAGGCAAATTTAGTTAGGTTTGATGTCAGGAAGAACTTCCCAACTATGAGAGCTCTGAACTCGGCATGGGAGGTAGCAGGATCACCCTCCCTGGAGGTCTTCAAGCCGAGGTTTGACAGGCACTTTAAAAATAGGGTCAAGTGATGTTTTTTGTTTGTATATCACAATAGTCTCTGACTATAGCCCTCCTCCCTCACCCTGAGCTCAGTTGCCCTGTAGCCCCATTGGCCAACCACTGGAATTGAACCCTCCCAGCTCTGGATGGTCACCTATCAGCATATCGTCCAGAGGATTCCTGTTCAGGCATGCCCTGGATGAGCTGATTTCTGAGCTCCTTCCCAACTCTGACTCTCTAGGATCCTAATCAGTGTGAAGGTCCTTTGAAAAATATTCCACAACAATCGTGAAGGTTGTGGTGATGTTATCGGTAATAATCGCTAATATTTATATAGCCCTTTAAGGTCTGCAAAACTCTTTTCCTCTATTATTTGATGTAATCAAAATACAACAACCTTGTGTGGAATCCGTTCTTAATTATCCCCAACTGAGGTTGTGAGGTTGACTTGCTCAGGGTCTTACCGCTAATAATAATAATAATAATAATAAATAACTTTTGTATAGCACTTTAAGGTTTGCAATGTGCTTACAAATATCATATCTGATACAATGACCCTGAGTTGTAGGTACTTATTATCTCTACTTTTCAGATGGAGAAATGGAAGTTAAGAAACTTGTCCAGAGTCCCACAGCTAGTAATGTTTAAGGCAGGATTTGAACTGAGATATTCCTGACCCTAAAGAATAGCCCTCTATCCATTTGAACACCTAGATTTCCCTACAACATTTCACTGGCATATTGAAAAAGCACTAGCCTTAAGAGTCTGGAGACCCAGGTCTGATACCTACCTGGCTATGTGGCCATGGGCAAATCATTGAACCTCTGTGAGACTCCATTTCCTCATAGGCCCAATGGAAATAATAATTCTTACACTACTTACTTCACAGGGTTCTAGTGAGGAAAGTATACTGTAAACCTTCAGGTGTTACTGAAATGTGAGTTATTCATTGTACATACTCAGCTTCCTTTGTATTGGTTAACTTTGCTAAAAATGCTTTTATTTTGTTATTTCTTTTTTCTTCTTTGTTACAAGGGATGGGGAGGGGGATAGATGTGTTAGGAAGTGAAGGCAATATAAAGATAAAAGAAAAAAAAATAACGATTTAAAAGGGTTTTTTTTCAGCCAAAGAAAGACAAGGTTTATTAAAAATCTGCTCTATTGGGCAGACTCTTCAGGAATCTGAGTATCAGTGAGGTATTGGCTAGATTGTAAAAATCTGAGCAGTGTCTAGATTATAAGAATCTAAGCCAAACAGTTTTTTTAAAAAGAAATCTATACTGTTGTAACTACACGTTGTTTTATATACATATATATATATATATATATATAGATAGAGATATAGATATATATATAGAAGAGAGAGAGAGAGAGAGAGAGAGAGAGAGAGAGAGAGAGAGGCAGCTGCTGGCACCGTGGATAGAGTGCTGGGTCTAGAGTTCAAATCCAGACTCAGACACTTCTTGTGATCCTGTGCAAGTCACTTAACCTCTGTTTGCCTCAGTTACCTCAAATAAAGAAACTGTAAAATGAGGATAATAATAGCACCTACTCCCAGGATGGTTAGGAGGAATAAAAGAAAGGATATGTGTAAAATCACTTAGCAGTGCCTGGTACTTAGTAGGTGCTGCATAAATGCTTTTTCCCTTCCCTTATAAGGATGGATTTTGTGCCTGAGAACATATTAGCAAATAAACTGCTGTTGGTTTAGGGGTTTTCAAGTTCCCATTTACCATGACCTTGGGTGAGCTAACCTCTCTGTTTCCCCTATTCTGTAACATTGGGAGAAGGATCTCATTTCCTCACTGATTTTCTAGTCTATTGGGAGGACAAATGAGGCCAGAGATCAAAAAGTGCTTTGACCTGCTAAACTCATGGGGCTGGGACTTCAGATGGTTCTCCCTTTCTTGTGCCTATCCTAGTTTCTGATTGTGGGAAAAGATGGCGTTCACACTCCTCTAAGGTCAGGTCAGTAGGCTCTAGTCTTCTAGCAATCGGCCATTGTTGACCCTCCTTTCAATCAATCAGTTAGTGAACAAACATGTTTTTTTTTTTTCAACAAGCATTTCTTGAACTCTTACTATGTGCCAGGTGCTATGCTAAATGCTGGGATACAAAGAAAGGCAACAATAGTCTTCATTCTCAAGGAGCTCACATTCTAAAGGAGGAGACAACATGTAAAGAACTATGTACATACAGTATAAATGGGCAGTTGTTCATCCTTGGTTTTCAAAGAGAACAATGACATCACAGGGGTGATGTCTTGACTCATGCATGAATTGGACTCAGGGAAGACAAGAGTTGCACAAAGTCACCAGTCTCACTCTGTCTGTCAGAATTATCAAAGTCCAGTGGCAAGATAAAATCAAGATGATTGGCAATGGCCCAGGATGCAGTGGATAACCTTGGCGTCTTCCACGTCTGACTGCTTCAGCCGCCTTCACGGCCATTAGAACAAACTGTTCTCATCTGCCCATTCCACCAGTCTTTATATGCTCAGGGTAAACACCCCCCCAAATAACTGATAGACTTGAGGCCTGCCAGTTACCCTCAACCTGATTTAGCCCATCTGGTGAGAGGGTTTTACCCCAGGGTGTGGTGACTGCACATGCTACAGTTTCCTGGAGCCACAGGTGAGAGTTGTATGAAAGGTGGATACCAAAGGTGGATGAGCAGCCCTGAAAAGGGCTCGGCAAGCCCATCTCAAAGGGAAGGGACCAGCATTAGGGGGACTAGAAAAGGCCTCTTATAGAAAGTGGGATATTAGCTGAGGTTTCAAGTCTCCTCGAAGGCTTTAACCTTGTGAAGTTGGCATCTGTTTTCAGTACCCCCAAATGATCTATTTTTCATCCTTCTCCTTGCAACTCAACGGCACCTCCTCTATAACCCTCAAAGCTTCCCAGTGATTTTTTACCCTTTCTTCTCCCCTCTTCCGAACTTTCTCTTATGAAAGGATTAGATAGACCCATTTGCACCAAGGAATAAGTAAGCAATGATACTTTTGGCTCATAGATTTAGAGCTGAAAGAGACTT